TCTGTTTAAAGTTGCTTAACCATCCTGCAGAAACTGAAAAGTTGGTGATATCAAGTAAGTTAGCACACTCTACTGCTTTTTGTTGGATAATAGGCCCATTTATAGTTAAATTTCTTGAAATTTGTTGATCAACCCAATGCTCATTACTTCTTCTAGTTGTGGATAAACACTAGATTTTTCACGAAAATTATTTGCATTTGGTAAAGTGGTATCAATGGAAAGCCGATGTTCTGATCTTTTTAAAATATCAGAAACTGTGCTAGTGGAAATTCCATATTGTGCTGCTAATTGAACACCACTAAGTTTTTGATCTCTTCATTTTTCGCAGAGTTCTTTCTTTTGAGCTAATGTTAAAGATTTCTTCTTTTTATTATTCGTATCTTTGTTTTCTCTCATGCTAAAGTATAGTTTGAAAAAAAAAACAGTGAGAAAAATTGTTTGCCTAATTAATAAATGATTGACATAATTATTTCGGACTCCGAAAAAATTAATACGTCATATCAAGATTTTTTAACTATAGTTGATCTAGAATAAAATCCGATTTACGAAATATTGAGATTTTACTAATATTAAAAGTCCGATATATCAAGACTGTTTTAATATAGATGATTTGGTTCCAGAAGAAAAATCCGAAATAGTGCCAAATCCGGTTTATCGAGGATCCGATTTATCGAGATTGCCTGTGTATTCGTTCGCCTATAATTAAACAAAATTAGAAATAATTAACATTTACAATAAAATTGTTTATATGTTTATTACCAGTATTAAACTGTATTAACCTAATTAAAAAATAATTTTATTATTAATTTTTTTTTAAATAAATCACCCAATATTATTAAACATGTTTTTTTGTATCATGATTTGATTAGTTAGATTGACATTATTTTTTCTATAACTTTTTTAAATTTCCATTTAGATTATGTGTTAACTATAATTGCTATATTTGCAAATCTTATTATTTTTTTTCATTAATACAATGAAAATACCTCGATCTCCTAAATCTATATATTTGAAACTTTAATAAAGGAAGTCCATCAACCTAATCTAGTTGATAATTAACTTTAACAAAGAGCCTAATGTAGAGCCGAATCATCCATTTTTTTAATGTGTCACATGTCAGAAACTATTCATATTTATTACTTTCTTCGTTATTTTCATTATTATAGACATTTTAAAATTTGATGCAACTTTAAAATATAAGAAAATAGACAAGGTAATCCTATGATTCCGAATATATTACGATATCCAAATTTGGAAAGAAATTTTTTATTTGGATAAAAAAGAAAGAATTTTAAAAATATTTTGTTACTTTATATTTTCAAGAATCAGTATACAGGAGGCACGTGAAATATAAATGAATAAAAAAAAAGTAGTTAAAATAGAAAAATAATTGCCACTTTTGTTTATAATATAAAAAATAAAAAGTTATAGCGTATACAAGTCATTAGACTTATTTTTTTTTATTATTAATAATTTTTAACAAAATAAATATTGGTTCTATCTATATTATACTCTATATATTCTATTATTGATTATGGTATGTATATGTATTTACAAACGCATATGCATATGATTCTAAGATTTTAAAAATGATAAATTAAATATTAATAGTTTTTTAGTCCTTAAAAATTATGTTATCCGCAAAACTATAAAAGTTTATCATAGCGTTTATAACCTTCAAAATGCTGTCTCTAAATAAATAATGTTGAATTGTGCAATGTATAGTTGTCTGCGCCTGATCTATTGCGATGAACAAACAATTTGATCGGCACATTCCGTCCATGATGATTACTAATGTGTAAAAAAATTTAACTGCCGTTACTAAACACTTATATTAGTTTAAACCAACTCACTAACTCCGGTGCAAAGCAACGAGCCGCCACTAGTAAATCTATAAAATGAGAATGTTTTCTTAAAAATAGCTCTTAGATCCTAGTACTTAAATTTAGAGTACATTTTTTCATAAATAAATCAAATCAGATTATTAATGATATTCAAAAAATTTTTCAGCGAAATTTTTTTGCGATTTACCAAATACTGAAATATAAGTTTTAAGGAGTTCAACTAATATCGAAAAGTAGTAAAGATATTTCAACTTATATGATTTATAATGTGGAAGACGATTTAGTTTAATTCGTTTGGTGTCGCTACAATATTGGCTCTGATATATACTGTAATTCATGATAACTGTAGAATTTGGGCAAAGTACACGTCTAAATGGACGTCAATCAAAAATAACTCCAATTTTTTTCGTTTTAAATATATAGATCGGCACTGACGTCAACATTATGTAATGACCAAAAAAGGAAAAGACCTTTCATATATAGTTTGGAGTCCTATTGTACAACATTTTAATTTTAACTTTCTTTTTATTTTTAAGAAAAAAAAAGACGAAAAATATGTCTAATCAATTTTTTTCGAAATTAAGTCAAAATTACATTGAATTATTAGAAGACGATGAATATTATGATATTACGATTGAAGTTGGTGAGGACCCTAATGTAAAAATCTTCCGTGCTCATATGAGTATTCTATGTTGCCGTTCTCCGTATTTACGAAGAACTTTGACTTCTAATAAAAAGTATAAAGATAATACTTTAGTTCACATCAAGTTACCAAATATATCACCGGAAATCTTTCAAATTATTTTAAAGTAGGTTTGCATACAAATAATACATTATAATACCAGCAAATTTTATTCATATTTAAATTCAAACTTAACATTTTTAATTTAGATATATTTATGGTGGTATTTTCCCATTGAATGGGCGAGATGATTCAGAAATTATTAAGGTTATGTTGGCTGCGGATGAATTTCTTCTTCAGGAACTTGTTGATTATATACAAAATTATTTAATTGAAAATAAATCCGAATGGATGGAACAGAATTTTGAACTTATTCATCGAACAAGTTTTCAATCAGATTCTTTATTACAACTTCAACAATTTTGTACAGATTTTATGGTGAAATCTCCAGAGAAAATATTCAAATCATTTGATTTCACTTCACTTCCTGAGAAATCTTTAGTTCAACTTATTAAAAGGGACGATTTACAAATGAAGGAGATTGAGGTTTGGGAACATGTATTAAAATGGGGTCTCGCACAAAATCCTACACTCCTTCCAGATCCTAATACTTGGTCAGATGATGATTTCAAAACAATGGCGAATACATTACAACATTGTTTATCTTTAATTAGATTCTTTAGTTTATCATCTAAAGAATTTTTACAAAATGTTCGTCCTTATAAAAACCTTTTAAAACGTAAACTTTACGAAACTTTGTTAAATTTTCATTTGGATCCTGACTTTAATTCAACTGACAATATTTTACTTCCTAGAAATCCTAAAATTGATGGAATTATTGATTCAAAAATTGTAAATAATTTAGATATTATTTCAACAATTTCAAGATCTATTGTTGATGTTAATAGCAAAATTTCACATGTCAGAAAATTTCATTTACCGTACAATTTTCAATTATTATTAAGAGGAAGCCGAGATGGCTTTACTCCTGAAAAATTTCACGAATTATGTGATAATATATCTCATACCGTTACATTTATTAAAGTAAAAGGAACAGATGAAATTCTTGGAGGATATAGTCCGTTAATATGGAGAAGTTCTTTTAGTGGTTGGGGTAGAACTAAAGATAGTTTTATTTTTTCTTTCAAAAATAATGATATCAAAGATGCAATTATTAGTAATATAAAAGATACAGATTGTGCAATATATTATGATAGTAATAGTGGTCCGCGTTTTGGTGATGATATTATCATGCATGCTTCTTGTGGGTATGGCACAGATTACAATGATATTCGTTGTAAAAAGGCGCGTTATGAAAAAAAGATAAAAGATACCGTGCATAATTTTTCCATTGATGATTATGAAGTATTTCAAATAGTAAAGAGATAAATGCAGTATTATCAAATAAGTTGTATAGATCTTATTTGAAATGATACTTTTATTATTTAATATGTTTCACTTAATAAAAATTATATTTGCGAAATCTTTTAACTCGACTTTAAATTAACATTTCATTTATAAATTAACGTTTCATTTGTAAATTAGATTATTATTATACCTAATAAATTATTTCTAAAATTCCATTTAGGAAAAAAAAAATATAATGCTGCATTATAGTGTTACTTATTAAAAGTATTATAATATTTTTTTTCTATATTTCTTTTTATAAACAGAATACTTCGCTAAATTTAAGAAAATACATATATACATTCATTTTTTGTTAGTAACACGTACAGTATTTCTTTATTAGTAATAATAAATAAGATTAAAACAAAGATTAAAACAAACCTTTAAAGTTTGATAACATCGTAAATTCGTTAATGAATCATGATATCGTAATTGTTTCAATTTAGGGCAACACGTCGGGTATGTGTGACAGAAATTTTCTCACATATACGAAAAATTAATAGAATGAATCCTCAATACTAACAAAAACCGGTATTAACCGAAGATATTTACTACTATTACTTTGAAATTACTTTGGGAATTTATTAATTGAAGGGCGCAGTATTATATTTAGTTTAAGTGTATAAAATTTTAAAGTAATATACCGTAATTGTGAAATGTTACATTGTTAAAAGTGTGACATCCGTAATGATGTAAAACTATTCTTGTGTTCATATTTATTTTTAGATTTAGGAAAGGGAATTAAGATTGAGGAATTACTAAACTAAGAAAAGAGACTGAAGATCGAAAAAGAGAAGGTTGATATGTACGAAAATGAGTAAAATTTGAAAAAGTCAAAATTTATTTGATTTTGTCGAAATAAAAAAAAAAAGGAAAATTCAAAACACAGAATTATTTTTACAAAAATCGTTTTAGTATAAAAAGAGAAAATATTTGATTAATGAAAAGGGATTTTGGAGGAAAAACTCTTTCTGCTGATCCTTTGTACCAAAATTTCAGACGAAAGGAAAAATTTAAATTTTTATTATACAAATAAACAATATACATAAAAATGTCGGCAGAAAAGCTAACAAAAGAACAAGAGTTTGTAATAACTCACATAGAAAGCTTTATAAGGAGTTTTGCGGGACTGGAGTTAGAATATTTAGGAGACTTTTACGACGCAGACTCAAAGAACGAGACTTTTAAACTATCAGACGCAGAAGTGAAAAACTTTCCTGAACATACATCTGGATATACACCAGGGAAATTTCCAACGACATATATCTCCAAAAGATGTAAGAATAAGAGGAATACAAATATTCTTTTCGCCTCTATTTTTACTATCAAGTTGGGAGCGGTATACCTCAAAGAAATTTTGGAAAACATTTACCGTGAGAATTTTTCAGAAGGCGCAGCAGACAAACAACCAATTGAACCTACCGATTGGCCACAAGAAAAGCGCAATCTATTACGATCAATTGAAGACAAAGATATTTTTCTGGCAGAGTTCGATGAAAGATTAAAAGAAACAAAAGAGGAATTATCAGCTGCAAATAATCAAATTAGGAAAGATGAAGAACAAATAATATCGCTGAAAAATGATTTAAAGATAGAGAGAGAACGAATAAAATCTCTAGAAAATGAGGTGATTAAGTTAGAAAAATTAGAGAAGAATAAGACAACGAGTGAGATTACTAATTCAAGTAAGCAGAAAAGTAAAGCAAAGACAAATGATCGACGCAGAAAATCCAAAAAAAAGAAATCATCGACACAAGAAATTAAAAAGGGGAAGATCACCGAAATTCCGGTTAAAACAACTTCCGATGATAAATATTTGGATGATCATTTTGCCGCACAATCACGTGATCTGAAATTTTACGACTTTCCTGCTTACTGGAAAGATGAAATGATCTATGAAATGATGAAGAAGGTTGGGTATATAGAAAGACTAGAAGTTAAATGGAATTACAAATACAAAACCATTCGAGCTAGAATTCGCTTAACAAAAGAAATGGAAGAAAAATTTCAACAAGGCGGATCAAATATAGCGCTAACAAAAAACGATCGAATGTATTTTTTCAGGATGTTTGATGCAAAACTAGATAGTTCAGTGATCAAAAGAAGATATGGATGGCAAGCATACAGAAAACTAGATAAAGAAGAAATAGAGAAGAAGGATGATGAAATAATCAAAGACTATAATAAAACCTTCGGTGGTCATTTTGCAAAATTAATCAAAATAAACAAGATCAAATATATTTTGATTTACTTCAACAATGAAAACGATCTAATGAAGGCAATTTATAAGTCAACAATGGAAGAAGATCTAGGAAAAGGTTTAAAAATAAAGTTACAAGACGAACTGATCGGAGAAAAAGGGACGTACAAGCGAACAACAGGTATAAACAGATTTAAAGTACCAGCACAAACAAACAAAAAAGACAAGTTTGTAGATGCTAGATCTGATATTCTTTCAACAATACCAAGAATGAAAGAAGAACACCAAGCACTTGACGACTAAACAATAATTTCAGCGAAAGATTGGACAAAATAAAAAGAAATCAAGCTTGCCAGAAGAGAAGAATAGAAGTAAGGACGAAAAAGATGAGATTAACAAAATAAAAAACGCGTAGTGACAACGCAAGGACAAAGAGAAGATTCTGACGACGAATAAACAAATTTGTCTAGAAATTATTTTACAAAATCAAGGTTTCTTTTCGAATCAAATTTGGATCTACCGAAAATAAGATGACTAAATAGAGAATTTTAGGCGATATTTGAGGATTTTCATAAATAGTATAGTTTCAGATTAGAAATTTTCTTGATGTCAAAAATTTTTTTGAAAATTTTTTATTTTTACAATTTTATCTTTTAAGTATTTTTAGAATTTAGTAAAAGTCTCCTTTGTTTTGAAAATATGAAAATTACAAAAACATAGTAAAAGTAGTATAGTAATGTAGTTTTTTTTTAGGAAAACAATATTAATTTTAAATCAAACACAAAATTTAGTTAGATTTTAAATTTTAATACAGATACGATGACTTAGTTATAGAGAGTAGGAAGATTTTTTTTTCTTTCTTCGCTCTAGGTGCTTTTGTATTTAGTTATCAGATCATTTATGATCGTATATAATTAATAAAGCGCATTACTATTTAAAAAAAAAGGGGGGATTTTGGAGAATTCTAAATTTTTTTTTTAGTATTACATTATTATATTAACCAAGCATTATATTAGTTATTACCCGTGATCCCAAAATGCGGTGCTGTATCACTTCATTAAAAATACGGTGATTTTTTTCTTTAAAATCGTAAATGTGTGACATCCCTTACATTTTTACTATTTTACTATTTTAACTTATAATAAACCGAAATCTGCCATTTCTCTATACTAAATTTACTCATTATAAATAGAAAAAATCATTTGTTTATTCAATTTTATTTAAGAAAAAGTTGGATTTAAAAATTAATTTATTTTAACGAAGCTTATGAGATCAACAATTTGTATATTTATAAGTTGAAATCATTTCTTTTTACATTAACATTCACTTAAAAGATCTTTTAAAAGCATGTCAAACTCCCCCATAAAAATAACCTCTTGTTAATTATATTAAATTAAAATTACGTAGTACAGCAGAAAAATTAAAGTAAATCCATTGATAAAATGAGATGCAATTTTCAAATCATCTACTTTCCAATATGAAAGCGTCACTTGCATGTAACTATCATGTGGCTATTATCACATACTAGGATATCAACAGTATGTCTATTATGATAAACATTTTTTTAATTACCATGGCGCTGTCAAATGTATAGACCGAACAACTGGGCAATAAAAAACTATTATGCTAAAAAAATTTGACCGGTTACACTACCTCCCGTCTTCCAAAATCATTAAATAGTATGTGATTTTTTTTTTACATACTTTTTATAAATTCTTAATTATTATTATAATTTCATATATTTTTATGATATTTAAATTTTATTTTCCTTTTATATATTTAAATAGTTTGATTTTCATTATTATAATTCATTGTATTGATTTTATGACTAGAACGGTCACAATTCACAAATCGTATACCATTCGTGAAAATAAATATAACGACAAATAAAAGAAATTCCAATTTGATTAAATAATGATTTCTGTTTTTATTAATTATTAAATATTATAAACATTCGGCACTCTGACCCGCATTAAATGCCTAATTTTTACTATAAAATATATAAAATACTATATTTTAATATATGATAATTGTTTAATGTGTTATCTTATTATAATAACGCAGTTTAGAGAAAATACAATGTACTCTTTTAATCTATACGACTACAAAATTATGGTTAGTTTGATCGGATGATTCATTTAAATTTCTAACAGCTGCTGCTTCTTTTTCCTTTTTTCTACATGCATAAGCTGAAATTATTAAAGCAGAGTACACCTAATATCATAATAGAAAATAAATATATTTTTAGTTCATAAAAAATAATTTTTTTCTTAAAAAAAAAAAATATTAAATTAATACGTACCGTCAAAAGAACTTCAAAAACAATTTCGTATGGTGCTAATCTACATAAATACGAATTTTGTCCTTTTGCACATCCGAAAACTATTGAATTAATAATTACTGCTATACCTATTATAACTTCAATTACTGTCACGATTAAACCAAATGTAGAGTATAACTTCAACATTCTATACGTTTTCTAAATAAAATTATGTTAAGTTTTAGCTTAATTTCACTCTAAAAAGAGAAAATTCTTTAATTTCTTCCAATACATACCGAAAAAATTACAGCATACAACCCAAATGCTGTTCCGAGCGTGACAAATGCATTAAGGACTATCATTATGATAACAGATGTAAAGGTAATAGAGTATTCCTCTGCTGAAATAATTATTTTATATTCTTTTTAAAAAAAAAAAAAATAATTTTGAGCGAATGATTAAAATAAAGGACTTACAAACTTCTTTTAATTCTTTATCCTGCATATACAGTTTAAGGCTCAAAACTCTGAATATAATTAAGAATAAAGCTACGAACTTTTAAAATGACATAAAAAAAATAAAAAAAATAATTTTGAATGTATTATTAATATAAAATTCAATTGCTATTGAACTTGATAGAAAAAATTGTGGAAATTTACAAGCCAAAATAATGATATAATTATAACACCAGCTTTCAACGGAATGCAGAAACAACATTTAGTTATTTGTAAACCCATTTTTTTTTTATTGTCTGTTATTAGTCGAAATGTATTTTCTTGAGGAATTTTTTTCGAAAATGTTGCATTTATATACCCATATAAATCGAAATAAACTTAATAAACTTCTAAACTTACTACTAGAAAGTAACAATAAAGTATTAACATATGTGAATTGTCTTACAAAAATATCTCGGCCCGAATCGGTCAGTTACAAAGATTACTCCGATAAATCAATAATAAAAAAATTATTTCTTTCAACTTATTATAATTCATTAGATAAATTATTACCTAAAATAGAACAATTTATTAATGCGCATTTAATATTGTTTTAATTTTGATTGAGTTTTCAAATCCACGACTATAAAACTAGATGAGATCTACTAAATTTGGAATTAAAGGAAATGCCAATTGGTAGCTTAATAAACTAATTCTCTTTGAAAACGGAATTTATAATCCTTGTGATTGAGATAATGAAGATCAATTTTAGTAAACAAAGTATATATATGTTAATTGTCAATTATACAGTTATACTCGTAGCCGAAACCCCCCTAGTTTCGACCTAGTTTTGGTTTCGGATTCGGACAGATTAGTCATTTCCCGAAACCAAAACAGGACCCCCGAGCAATACTGAATAGGTAAACGCAAAATAACCATGAAAATCTTTCCTTTTTTAGATAATTTTCGATAATGTTGGTCGGAATTTTATTACTTATTTTAGTGGCTGACTGACATTATTATAATCCCGGCCCTGAAAATGTGTAGGGGCCATAGTACCCGGGTATCTTGCAAATTTCGGAGGTTTGGTCCCCTTATTACGCGAATTTTTACTATTAATAGAGGGTGTTTAAAACTTATAAAATAATTAGGGTATAATTGCACGTCACACAAGATATTTGTTGGATTATTTAAATAATAAATCAACAAAGAATGTGACTTCTCCTTATTCTCTTACACTAATGGTATAATCTATTAAGGACTTAATTAAATTTTTTAGTTAAAAGTTGATCTGTTCTTTAAAGAGGGCATCTTATTAGCAAGATATGGGAATGTTTTGGCTCCAGAACGTGAAGATTTTATACTGAGGTATTAATAACCAAAGAAGTGGATGATAATGAAATTTAAAATTCACAGTTATAACTTTTTTTTATTATAGTAAATAAGTAGTAAATAGTAATTTAATTTTTACAATTTAGCATTTTAGCGCACTAATAATAATAATGCATAAATTTGATAATTAATTAATTAATAAATAATAATATCTGCTGTAATAAAAATAAATGTATGTTATTTATGTTATTAAAAAATGGTTTTGTAATTTTTGGACTTTCAGCCTATATAAAGTTTCGGCAAGGGTTTCGGGATAGCTAAAGTGGGTAAGTGACTCTGCAGCACCATATAGTTTTCTATGAAGTGACCATACAGATGGTGGTTGTATGGTATACTTGTAGTGACCATACATACGGTAGTGACCAAAGTACCTCGGTCACTCTTATGCCTGTCTCTTATACACATCTAGATGTGTATAAGAGACCAGATGGTGGTTGTATGGTATACTTGTAGTGACCATACATACGGCCCTATGAAAAAAAATTTCTTTAAAATATACTTAAAATGTACTTATATATTTTAAAATATATCTAAAATGTACTTAAAATTTTTAAATGTACTTATAATATACTTAAAATTGCAATTTTAAGTATATTTTAAGTATATTTTAAAAATGTTAAGTATATTTTAGGTATATTTTAAAAATATATAAGTATATTTTAAGTATATTTTAAAAAATACATAAGTATATTTTAAGTACATTTTAAAGAATTTTTTTTTTATAGGGCGGTAGTGACCAAATTGGTATACCTCGGCCACTCTTATGCTCATGACTACCTACGGAATAACAGAGACTAGGTAACCTTCGTCTCAACATCCAAACCTACTCACCCGCGATGATGGTTACTTCTGATCTTGTTACAATATTATATAATTATCAGGATTTATTAATTTATTTAATTTATTGTAAAAGTCATGACAAAATATTTTATTAAATTTATTAACACCCTTTTATTAATTAAATAATCAAATACGTTTAATGAAAAAAAATCGGATTTAGGTTCCTTAATTTCTATAAAAAATCAGGTTCTTTTAGGATTCTTTAATTTTTTTTTTTTAATAAATGGGGTTTTTTTTGTTAATAAATTATCTGTTCATATTCAACGTATCAAAATAAATTGATGAGAATCATGCAATAAAAAATTTTTGAACGATATATAATAACAGCGGAAACACCAGGAAATCGGTAAATCTTGATTTGCGAAAAAAAAAAAAATATTCAATCATGAAATCATGAACATTAAAAATCTATTAAGACGCTTTTGGTTAATAAAAATTCCATATTAGGAAACATAACGATCTATGATGTAATGATGTAAAGTCGTACTATCACATGCACGAAACAAAGCAAAAAAAAATGATCAACATGATGAAAAGTTCATGAAAAAATCGTCTTGAAACAATTTAAACATGATGAAGTTATCATGAACCATTGAACCATGATGAAAAATCATGATTTTTTTTTTCAACCTTTTTTAGACTATATCAAATTTCCTGAGCAATTTGGGTACCATAAACAAAGCTGCGGTACAACCAGCAAATTCATTCTTTAACGGTTTAAATCACTTTCTCGGTGTTACGGAGTAATGATTTTTTAAAAAGGGGACCCGTTCACATTATCGACAATCATATTACCGACAATCATTTTACCGACACTCATATTACTGACACTCATTTTACCGACACTCATTTTACTATCAACACTTACAGTATTTATTACTATTTCACTACCCACTTCAGTTATGAAAATTAAAATACATATTTAATATAAAGGAATTTACCATAATATATAAAATAAAAAATTGATTAATATATAAGTATTAGTTATTTGATAGGGGGGTTAGAATATCACCGAACTGCGAAGCAGTTCGGATGATATTTTAACACTCCTATCAAATAACTGTGTTATCCTGCAGCCGCTGATGATCATACTATATTAAACTATTTTTGGTTTAGCGCGTCCTTTTAGCCTTTTTTAAACTATTTCTGCTTATAAATACAATATTAAACTATTTCCAGTTTAACACGACGCGTCTTTTTAACCTTTTTTAAACTACTTCCTCTCTTTTTCTTCATTTATTTATTTCTTTCACTTATATTCAAATAAAATGCCACGATTAGGTTCAAAAAATAAGGTATTATTCATTATTGCTTTATTTTTCTTTCTTTATAATAACATTTTGTATTGTCTTTTTTTAGGAAAAACTAGAAGAGACCACTACTCCAGTAAAAGACAAGGTTGACTTTTATCGTGAATTTTCAAAAGTAAAAAATACAGTTAAGGTAACAGATATACGGATAGGCTTACTAGAGAAGTTTCGAGATGAACAGTTATATATAGGAAAGATTCAGGAAGTGGAATCTGAACAAGATTTAATTGAACAATTATGCTCTTTTTTTGCTAATATGAAGAAGAAAGATGGTGCTGACTATTCTGTTAATTCTATTAGAGCTTCTCTTGCAGCTGTTAATCGTTTTCTTCAAGAAAAATCAAGAATTAAAAATATTGATTTATATAATGATTCTCGTTTTAAAGCTATAAAAGAAGTTGTTGATGGAAAAATTAGATTTTTATCTAAAAATGGGAAAGGTGAAACTAAAGGAGCAGATTCACTAGAAGCTAACGAAATTACCAAATATTAAATCATAGATTATTAGATGGTACCACACCTGAAAGATTATTGAGAAGAGTGTTCTTTATCAATGCAATATATCTATGGCTTCGTGGAGGAGAACATGCATTATTTAATGGAACTGATTTTGTTAAATGTGATGATGGTGGATACAATGTTTTTATTTATTGTTCCAAAAACAACCAACGTGGTCTTACTGAAAATAGGAAAGGCAGACAAATTGGTTTTAGCAAATCATCCAGAAGTTACTCCATTTCTTGATAAATATTTATCATCACGTCCCTATGGTGCAGATCCTGATTTCTACCTTCAGGAAGTTGAAGAAGAATTTGGTAATATATTTAATAGTAATAGTAATATTTATAAATATTTATTAATAAAAATTAATACACTTTATTATTTTAGCTTTGAAAATGGGAATTTGGTATAAACCAAAACACGTAGGATTCAGAAGATTAAATTCATTTTTAAATGAAATTTGCAAAATTACTGGCATTAACTTTAGTGGTAGGAAAATCACTAACCATTCTGGGCGACGTGCACTTATCCAAAATTGTGAAAAAATGGGCATTCCTAAAGAAGAAATAAAATTACTTTCTCGCCACCACTCTGATGCTGGATTATTATCATACACTTTACCTCCCGATGATAAAAAAGATGAGATTATTAGAAAATTTATGGATTAAATTCATGGAAAACCAACTTTAGGTATAGAATTTATTCAATTATCATAATTACTTAATGTTTTAACTAAATATATTAAATATCTGATTTTTATTTATTAGATAAGGCGAAAGTACCAGATATATTAAATGGTCAAGTTTCATATAATGAACAAGTAATTGGAAAAGAAAACAATAATATTAAAACTGCAAAAGAAGGTAATATTTTATTTATTAATATGTTTTATTTTGTAACTTATTAATTTGTCTAATTTATTTTTTTAGTATTTTACGAAAATCAACAAAATTCTCTAAAAAAGCCATTAGATTTAACTGACATAAATCAACAATTAGAAATTTCAATGAATATTGATCAATTTAAAGAGTTATTTAATTGCGGTTTAATTTCCAAGCTTAAAGGAAAGGTTAATTTGTCATAGCAAATTTATTATAAATTAAAATAGTATCTATATTTGCGGTATAATATTTAGTACATGATATTTAGTACATGATATTTATGATATTTAGTATGATATTAAGTATGATATTTAGTACATGGTATTTAGTATTTGAAAAAATATCAATAATAATTATGCTATCGTAGTTTATTTATAGCTTAATAAAAAAATATCAGCACGCATGATCCTATTTGGCTGTAGGATAACAAAATGTAAAATACTATGATATTTATATATACTGATAAAATAACTTAAATTTAATATTCAATTTTATCAATTTTATTTTTTAAAAAATTTATTTCAGCTTCATAATATATTGTACTTAAAATTGTTCTTAATAATTTTTATATAATTTGCTTTTTTTGTAACTTAAAAATAATTATTATTTTGTCGGTAAAATGATTGTCGGTAATATGATTGCCGGTAATGTGAACCAGACCTTTATTTTGAGGTTATGTATTTACAGTATATGTAAATAATACCATGTTTAGTGTCGCAATACATGGAATAAAATATTTAAACCAATTTATCTTTTATCCGTCCTTCATATCTATTATTGATTTTTGAGTGTTAAACTATTCATTAATTTTTGCATAAATTATAATAGTAACAAACTAGATGTAACCCGTCACGTTGCGGCGGGAATGATACTTGCCCATCAAGTAAGAGAGTAATAAAGAGAGTAATAATAACACACATCNGGTATAATATTTAGTACATGATATTTAGTACATGATATTTATGATATTTAGTATGATATTAAGTATGATATTTAGTACATGGTATTTAGTATTTGAAAAAATATCAATAATAATTATGCTATCGTAGTTTATTTATAGCTTAATAAAAAAATATCAGCACGCATGATCCTATTTGGCTGTAGGATAACAAAATGTAAAATACTATGATATTTATATATACTGATAAAATAACTTAAATTTAATATTCAATTTTATCAATTTTATTTTTTAAAAAATTTATTTCAGCTTCATAATATATTGTACTTAAAATTGTTCTTAATAATTTTTATATAATTTGCTTTTTTTGTAACTTAAAAATAATTATTATTTTGTCGGTAAAATGATTGTCGGTAATATGATTGCCGGTAATGTGAACCAGACCTTTATTTTGAGGTTATGTATTTACAGTATATGTAAATAATACCATGTTTAGTGTCGCAATACATGGAATAAAATATTTAAACCAATTTATCTTTTATCCGTCCTTCATATCTATTATTGATTTTTGAGTGTTAAACTATTCATTAATTTTTGCATAAATTATAATAGTAACAAACTAGATGTAACCCGTCACGTTGCGGCGGGAATGATACTTGCCCATCAAGTAAGAGAGTAATAAAGAGAGTAATAATAACACACTTCTCCCATCACTCCTCTTCATCTTCTCATCAATTCTTTACGTCTCCCATCACTCCTTTTTACTTCCCATCACTCTCCCATCACTCCTCTTCGTCTCCCATCACTCCTTTTTACCTCCCATCACTCCTCTCACTTCTTTTCGTTTCCCATCACTACTTTTCATCTCTCATCATGTCCCATTTATCCTTTTTGCTTCCTATCACTTCTCATTACTCTTTTTTTCTCTTTCATCTTCTATTACTTTCCATTACTCCATTGTTATTTCATTTTTTTATTAGCATCTTTTCCTTGGTCATTGTAATTTATTTATCTTTTTATTTATTGTTATTGTTTAAATACAGTGATTTTTTTCTTTAAAATCATAAATGTGTGGCTTAAATTTTAATATTTGCAAATAAAATTTTATCAAATAAGATTATTTTGAATAAATATGCAAAAAAATTTTTTTTTTATAAATATCATCGCAATAAAATTTAAGTTTAACCGATCAAAATAGCCAAGTTAAAAAATCAGCCATCAGCCGACTAATAATTTGTACATCATGTGACATATTTGAAAAAAAACCCAGGCGGTGATCGCCCAGGCGACAGTTAGCAATCCTCCCAAAAAAATATTTCACAATCCCCCAAAAATGAATTATAAAAATCTATTGCTATGAAAAAAAATTTCCCCAATTATAACAATCTATTGTCATGAAAAAATCATCCCCAATTATAACAATCTATTGTCATAAAAAAACATTTTTCCATAGACCGATCTATTGTTACAAAAAATAAACAAGTAAATTATTTCAGTCTATTTATATTGAGCCTAAAAAATAATTAGGGAAAATATTACTAATAATAATAAGAATCGGAAAAAAAGGCAATTACCGTGGTGCCACAGCGTCAATCCGATCACCGATCTGAATCTAAATGGTTTAAATGGTTTAAGAATGTGGTTCGGGAAAAAAACTCGATTTGAAAAAAAAAAGCCAATCCGAAAAACGAAAGTGAAAAAAGAATTTTTGGATTGGAAAAAAAACCAACTCGAAAAAAGAAAAAGGTTTTAAAGAATTCGAAAAAAACCGAAAAAAAAATAACACTAAAGAAAATTTGAAAAAAAAACGAAAAATAAAATTTGGGGGAAAAGAAAAAGGATAAAGAAAGAAATCGGAAAAAAAAGGAACCCGTAAAAAAAAATAAGTACTGAAAAAAATTCTGAAAAAAAAAGGATAATAATCCGGTCCAAAAAGACTGAAAAAAAAAAATTAATAATATGGTCTAAAAAAAGACCGAAAAAAATAATAATATAAAAAAAATCGGTCTTAAAAGACCAAACAATAGGATTATTTATAAAAAAAAAAAATTTTCAGTTCGGGAAAAAAAACCAAAAAAATTCTCGGGTTGGAAAAAAAACCAAACCGAAAAAGAAAGAGGAAAAAAAAATGAAAATTTTTTAAAAAAAGGAAAAAAAAAAGGAAAAAAGGTGGTTCGAAAAAGAAAAGAGGAAAGAACCGAAAGTAAAAGATCGATTCAAAGAAAAAAAAGAGAAAATTAAAAAAAGGGAACTGAAAGAATTTAAATCTGAAAAAAAAAAATAAATCGGTAATCTAAAAATTCTGATTCAAATTTCATTAACCGGAATTGGATTATTAGATATACAACATTACTTGCTGATCAAGCGGGTCTTAGCTATAAAGAATACGGATCAGCAATTCAAAATTAATTTATACAGGCTAATCTAAACGTTACGATTACACAATGTATTTTTTTAGTTATAGAATATGTGCAAACTTCTAAAAAAATCGTAAATCTTACATTTTTTATAATGTCGGGTGGTAAACTACCTTTTTTGGACACGACCTGCAGCAAAAAATTTTGTAACCTTCATATAATATTTCGAGTCTTTTTATACCTTTATATTATGGGCTTATCTACAGTCACAACCCGATATAACGAAGTAGGCGTCTGGGCCGATCAGACCTTCGTAATAGAATAATTCGGTAACACCATAACAAATTCTTCATTATATTATAACGAAGAATTCGGTATCATATATAGTGAATATTTTTTACATTTTACTAAATATTCGTTAAATTTTTAATAACAAAAATTTTTTATAATAGATTATTTTTTTTTTCATATTTTTAATTAAGCATTTCGAAAAATATCATTTATTGAAAATCGTAAACACTACAAAAAAAAATTATACTATATATGCCGTTAAATTCCTAATTTAACAATGATTTTTGCTCATTTACTTTCGATAAAACTATCAATATTAATTTGCTTTGCAGAAATAAAACGTTGTCTCAAAGCTTCTTTCCTTAACTTCTTAATAAATTTCAATTCCTCCTTTTTCTTATCATAACTATCTTCCTGTTGCTCCAAATATAATATTACCTTATCATAAGTTTCAATTGCTTCACTATGAGTAACGAGAGGTAAGGGGTTCAAAAGTTCTTCCGCTTCCTTTTCTTGATTATCAGGAAGAACAACCTTCAAAATTTCATCATTAGATAAAATTTCTGTAGTAATTTCTGCACTATCATATTGAATATATTCATCGGCAGTAAAAGGGCTTTCAAAATCAAGCATATCAATTAACTCCTGAACCTCTCTTAGTTCCTTTATATGCGTATGATAAACTTGTGCATCAGGGTCATAGTCGTTTATATGAATTTCGTTTTCACTATTATATTTGGGCAAAATATCTGCTTTCAGCCAACAATTTTCAATTGTAGTTGATGTAACATTCTCCCATGCACGTGCAACATATTTGATGCACTTTTTGATGTCGATTTCAACAGGTTTGGTACCATATTCATTATAGTTGTCAAATACTTTAACTCGATTATGTAAATACAACTTCCGGTACTGTGCCTAATAAAAATTAATCATTTTCGTTATATAAAAATCTCATTATCAAATAACAGAAAATAATTAACTCACCTTAAAACTATTAATTATCCCTTGATCGCACGGTTGCAAGTGAGCCGTTGTATTTGGGGGTAAGAATTTTAAAGTGATATTTGTAAGATGTGTTGTTTCATATAGGGCATGACTTGGAGCATTATCAATAAGAAGGAGAATATTTCGACCTTGGTTCCTCATTTTACTGTCAAGCTTTTTAAGATATTGATTCCAAATCGACACTTGCATCCAGCTTTTTGAATTCCAATAATAATCAACTGGAAAAGTTTTTTTATCAAGATTTTTGAGGGCCCGGGGATTTTCATACTTATGTATTAATAATGGAGGCAATTTTTCACTACCAATTGCATTACAGGTAAGTAAAACAGTCACACGGTCTTTTGACTGTTTTGTTCCTGCAGTTGGACCATTAGATATTGTACGACTGGGCCGCATCTTCCAGAATAAACCCGTTTCATCGCAATTAAAAACATCTTTAGGGTCATAATCTTTTAAAGTTTGACGAATATCTTCACGCATTGCTTCAAGATCCTGAAGTGGTGCACTTGCAGCCTCCCCATGCATATTATATTGCTTAAGATTGTGACGCTTTTTAAAATTGTCTACCCACCCGTTTGATCCCTTAAATTTCTCTTCTTTACACAAATAGGCAAACTCTAACGCCTTAGTTGAAAGAATATTATCAGTAATAACAAGACCAGCTTGAAGAGCATTTTCTACCCAAAGAGTTAAAGCATCTTCAATAATAGGAAAAGGTATTTTTTTTTCACGCTTCAAACTAGCTTGATGAGAATTGTCATCTATAGCAAGCCAACGGTCTCTTGCTTTTAAGATATCACTAATCATTCCCTCACTTACATTATATTCTTTAGACAAGTCTATTTGCTTTAAAGAAGGCGTTGATATTTTTTTTAAACATATTTCTTTTTTTTGCGCAGCAGTAAGTGACCTTCGTTTATTTTTAGGGACGACTTCTTGATTTTTAGGGACTTCATTAAGTTGTTTTTTAGGGTTTACTTTTGGCATTTTCTTATAAGGAAACAAAATAAAAATCGCGAAACACGAAACACGAACATCTATCCATTATTAATTTTGTTATAAAGACTAGACAATATGTGAAATTACTATATTGAGAAGAATTTTTGTGTAAAATGAATGTCAAATTATCTTTTATAGTATCGCAAAAACCTTCGTTTTAATTAAAAAAAACTTCGTTGTAAAAAAATTTCGTTACAAAAGGGGTCATTTTTATATGCAAATTTGTATATTGTACTTCGTTAAACGTTATACTGCATTTAATTAATAAAATTCGGTATAATAAATTTTTTTTTATATGTAAAAATCTGTACCCAATTGAAGATCCGTTATATCGTATAATTCGTTTTATCAAAATTCGTTGTAAGGTGAGTTGACTGTATATTGCTTATCTATAGAGAAACTAGTATCAATTGGAAACTGATAAATATACTGCAGCGAGGTTATGAACCAAATTAGCATCATAACTTAAAGCAGTCTTAAAACAGTCATTTTTACTGAAATTATTTGTGAATTTAATGAAAAGAACAAAAGTGATTATTGGAATTTTAAAACTAAACAAAGGAACCGCAGTCTGCAGATACGAATGACTTAATAGCGATATGTAAAAAATTAAAAGTAATTTACTGTAATTTAACTTATCATAAGTAACAAAGATACTTTTAACGCTATTTGATATTTAATAAATGTCCGTTATCAAATGTACTTAATAATTATTCATAATGTTGGCGACGAAAAAATTACAGAAACTTCAAATGATAATTATTATTTCCCCTGATTTTGCATCAATTCTTGTCGTACAATTTGAGTAATATAATCTTTTAAGTTATTATTATCATTATTTTCAGGAATCGTAATTACTTCTTGTCCATGATTATAAGTATTCGTATCATTATGAACCTGGTTCTCATTTACAGAAATTGTAGTTGCCTCTTGTCCATTATTGTAACCCTCCGTATTATTATGACCTGGTACTAATAATATATTTTTATTTTTATTATAATTTTTAAACTTTTTGTATAAAAAGAAGAATCCAATTGTTAATAAGCTGCCACCAATCAGTGAACCTATTATTGCACCAACCATATTTGGAGTATTGCTGGTATTATTATTAGCAGCAGCAGAAGGAGAAGCAGTAGAAGCACTGCCATAAGAAAGAGCAGCAGCAGTAGCAGGAGCAGCACCACCAGGAGGAGCACCCCCGCCGATTAGTATAAGAGTACCTGCCATACCACCAGTTCCAGGTGTACAATGACCAGGAACACCACAAAAGAACCATGTTTTTCCACCAGCAGCATCATATGGAATAGGTATTGTCCATGTCTTAGGTGCCATAAATGCACCATCAGAAGTGAAAGCGTTAGGTTTTTCTGATTTTGCGCAGGCTGTTAACGAATCAGTTTCTATAACGCTATGTTTACCAGAAACCCAAGTGAAGACAACCTAGTAATATATTGAAATTTATCTGAATAAAAATAAATTATTTTAAGACAAAAAAAAAAAATAAATAAAAAGATTGTTATGCATACATTATCACCAGGTAGGGCCAATATTTTTGCTGGTTCGAAAACATTTTCTCCTTTTGCATTACCAACATTAACCATAACATCAGCTGCATGAACGTATATAATAAGTCCCAAAAGGAATAAATATACAGCAAAATTTTTATTCATTTTGATTGAATTTTTTTTTTGAAGGTATGAGAGAAAATTTTTTATTAAACAAAAATTTTTTATTTTCAATATATTTTCGTTGGAATGTTCTGTAAGGTTAATAAAAAACAAAGAGAAGTGTTATGTTACAATAGGGGTGCATTAGTGGTTGCGCCATGCACTCCCTGTGTGTGCGCGGTTTTATATGATCACGTGAAATTTATTTATACAGTTTACAGTAGGATCATCCACTCTATTAGCATTAGACATTAGTTTAATATTTATATTTGCTTCTAGAGAAAAGATTAATGGATATGTTAGCTGACATTTCTGTTTTCTTATCATTATGGTAGTGCTTTAAAAAAAAATTAAAACTTGAAAACACATAAATGCATGTGTATCAAGTCAATAATTATAAAGTATTTCATGTCAAAAGTTTGAAAGTCTAAGGCACACTGACTTTGACGCCAAAAAAAGTCTGTTACAATTGTTCGTTAAAAAAAAATTCACCCATTTTATTAAATTTGGTATTAAAAGCAATAAAAAAATATATATATTTTTTATTTTACAAAAAGTTCTCTTCCATTTTTTTTTTTAAAAAAAAAATGAAAAAAAAAATTGGTTTTCAACATTTTCTTCGTTGTCTTTACCATTTAAAAGGGCAAAAAAAAAAAAATTTAATGTCACAAAAACCGAGATGGTTAGTTAATTTGGTTTCACAAAAACGTGATTGAGATTAAGCTCAAACTTTACTAATTGGACCGAACGATATTAGCCCTATCTGTCCTTTATATAAATAATTAAATAGAGTATATAGTAAATTAGTACAGTACAGTAATACAAATTAGTACGAACGCTCAAAAAAAATATTTTAATTTTTCCGTACTCAGACAGACCTTTAAAAATAATTTTCGATTTTCCATACTAATAATTTTACATCGTAACATCATGTGATCAAATTTGCACCTTTCCGGCGTCCCGTTCTTTTTTTATTTTTATCACACCAAGGTGACATCGTTCGACTGGTGATTTGGTTTACAGTTTTTTCTGAATTACTTCCGATTTTAGTATATAGTTTCTTTGTAATTTGTTCTGTAACTTTGTTAGTGTAACTTTGTTCGCTTTGAGAAATAAAAATAAAAATAAAAATAAAAATAAAATCCATAAACTTTTTTTTTGACTAAAAAAATTATTTTCCAGATCGTTTATCCCTGGGCTTTTTTGTTTGAATGCCAATCACAAAGATAAATTAAAACATTATTCACTTTCTTGTGATGTTCTTCTTGGCGGAAAAGTTTAATTTGATTTAATATTTTCTCTTTTATTTCTTGGAGTTGCGCTAGATTGGAGAATTTGTTAATATATGTATATTTTCACTCTTCATTAATTTTTGTTTTCTTCTCCCTTAAATGATCCCAACGTCAGAGTTTGGTTTTTCAGTTTGGATTTTTGCTTCGACTTCTACCGTTTTTATAAAAATCTTCAAAAACAATTCTTCATGGAAGAAATAACTTCTTGTCAATTCGACTAATCAAAGGATAAATGAACAATTGACAATTTAAGTTGAGCAGCCAATTTAATTACCTTGAGGATAATGTTTGATACGAAAATTTAAAGTACGAAAATATTTTAAACTTTCGTACGTACTAGTATAATTTTTATTGGATTGATTAAACGTACGTACAATCAAAATATGAGGGCGTACGACCAAACTTGCATCAACGTACAGTACTACTTTACTTATTGTCTAATTAAATAGATCTATTATACTGTACATTAAAGATAAATTAGATATATATTTTTATCTTAATACTTAAATAATAGTGTTTCGGAGGGTTCTTACTATTTTATTTATTAATGAATTTTGAAAAGAAAAAAGTAAATAAATAAATAAATAAACATAAATAAAAAAAAAAATTAACAAAATGTACTTTATATTAAAATAATATTCGTTAAACAATGTACAGTACTTCCGGAAAATTCCATATATTTATAATAAGGTTTAAAAATTTTTTCATTTATTTTTCAGATATGATTAAGAATGATACTAATATCTACCAAGAATTTGCAAATACGTAGATATTACTCTTACTATAAAAAAAATTCAATTAAAAGTTTCGTTATTACGATTTATTAGTAACCGTTACTTTTTATATATTTTGTTCTAATTTTAAATTATTGTACCTTGAAATATAAATTATGTATTAAAAATCACAACACTTTAACTTATTGTAAAAAAAAATTTATTTGACTAACTAGGTAGTTTCGTATAATAGGTACTGCAGTTGCGTTGATGAGTAGCCGATGTTTAGTGTTAAGAATTAACATTAACAGGATGAGTTTTGGTCATCATTAAAATAATTAATTGAATTGATACACTTCGAAAAGTTGCTTATTAGTTAGCCAGTACATTTATCTATAGATCATTTATGAAAATGATGTTTTTTAAAATTCGCTGTTCGCCACGAAACATAAATTTATAGCTTTACCTATATTAAATGGTAAAGAGAAGAAATTAGTTTTGATAAAACTTCTGTCAAATATAGCAAGTTTATAAAGATGAACGAAAAAAAAGAAGGGGATAAAGAAGAGCCAAAATAAAAATGATGATGAGAAATGTAAAAAAGTAAGGGGAATGAAAATAAACAAATAAAAGTAAATGGAATGAAGAGGAACAAAGATTAATAATAAAAAACTACTACTCATGAAAAAAAAAGAAAACTAGTTAATATCGTTTAAAGCAGAAATAATAAAGGATACAAAGGAAAAACGCGAAAAATAGGAAAAATGACAAAACAACAAAATAACCACCTTAAGAACCACGTATTGTCATGTGATTAGAGGGCGAATAATTTACCATAACTTTTTTCTAATAGGATAATATATTATAAATGTTACTATCTATTTTTAAATTGTCATAATTATAATATTTGTTAATTGATCAAATATTTCTAGTTTCATTAAATTTATTAATAAATATTGAAATTTATTAATACATTGGATTAATACTTTATTATTGTAATAAATATGATATGATATAATGTAACTATTTAAATAATAAAAGAAGAAATTTATACTGTGTATTTAAATTTTTTAACACTAATACAAGTTGAATCAAAAGAGATTTTATAATGACTTTTTTATTTTTACTCCAATAATTATTAAAGGATTAATTATTGCTTCTGTTGTAAAATGTGAATTTGCAGTACTTTTTAGCTAGTTCAATTATCAATACATTTTTTGTATAAAATTGTAAACATTAAGCTATAATTTGAGATCCATTTCATGTGTTCAGAGAACCATTTGATAAATAATACACTTGGTATAATGTCATTGTTGATTATTTTTCAATAAAAAGAAAATTTCTTTAGGCCAGACAAATTGGATTTACTGTTTAACAAGAGTTTTTATTAAAAAAAAAATTCTTTCTTTTTTTTTATAGGTTCGGGTGGGCTTCCGAAGAACGAAAACCTAAAGATAAAGATTCGTAAGTACGAATCTTTATATATTTTTTATTTTTATTTTTTTTTATCATTTTGGAACGGTTTACTAACCGTTCCTTTCTTTTTTTTATAGGTTTGGGCGGGCTTTTGTGTGGAAAAACCAAGATTCGTACTTATTAACTATCAAATTTTGAAAATATGAGGTGTAGAAATAGTATGTTTTGGTTTTGGAGTTTGCATTAAAGAAGTTTTTTGATTTTGTATAGCTGATTATATAGCAGCAGGAAGTGAAATATAATTAAAAAAAGATCTATAATACTGCTAACAAACATTAATATTAATAATTAAGAAATTTATTTTGGATAATTTAAATTGATCAAACAAAATTTGTCTTTTATATCTTCCTCACTTAAGTGATTTCAACTGCATTTCTTGAAATATTATGTTGATCAACTAAAGATAATGGAGATTTTATAGAGAGGGATATTTTATAAAAAATTTTTTTTTTGTATCTATATAAATCAAAATATTTGAGGGAGGGGAGTGGGAATATTAAAAAAACATTGATAAATTTTACTATTATTGATGTATGTCTATATTATATGTAGAGTTATACTGAGAATGCAAGTATCTCAAGAATTTTTGTCATTACTTTATTCTTTTGATTATTAAACTTTATCACATAATCTTGTGATAAAGTTCTTAATATTTCTTTTATTTCAGCATAGTGTATGGAAAAATTTTGGTAAATATTAGATATTATAATAATAAACTTTAGAAATTTTGAGAGGTTTTCTCAAACAGAAAATCAAATTGGTCCAGCCTTATTAAAGCCTTTTTAACATATAAAATCATTATAATAGCAAAGTATTAAACATAATATGTAAGAGTATATGAAAATGATTTCATATAATCCATTCTTGAACTTTGTATCACCTTCCACCTCATGCCCTGTTCCTCCATTCATCAACAATCCTAAAAATGTTAATACTAATAATTTTTTTTTATATCAATAATGAAACTGATAGCAGAATCCTATTATAATAATCATCATTTCTATTCCATCTTTGCTGGTCATGCCATTGAGCTAATTCTGAAGGATGATGTCGATGGTGGTGGGCATTTGAGTAGTATTTTGCAAATTAATATCAATTAAAATCAGATTTAAAGGTTTGTAGAAAGAAAGTATATGAGTGAGTTATTTAAGCAAAAAATCTTACAAAACATACTCTCTTTTATGAGTTTTTCTGCACATGCTCAAGAAATATGCTTTTGCCTCATTGTACACAAGACAATTGTAATTCTGCTGTTAATATAAATGGAGTAGCTTGAAGAGTTGTGACAGGTGAAGTAGTTGAAGCAAATTAAAAGAAGTTTTGAGGATGTATATACTTTTTGCCTTAACATGCAGAATTATTGTTACAAAAATATTTCTTCATAAATAATATATTTTTTTTAAAAACAAAATTAATAATATTTTCCACCTTCCTTCCAGCCTTTTTATTTTTGAAAAAAAAACTATAATTGGGAAGAGTGTCATTGTGTACTTTTATTGAAAAATAATTAATTATCAATTATATCACATAACAGTTTATAATGATTTATAATTCACTTAAATTTTATGCACCGTGGAAATATAATAATTAAACTTATCACAAAACTTCTCATGATTAATCGACAGTATTTGACTAAAATGTGAATTTATTTATATGTAGCTTTACTTGTTAATCATTATTGAAGGTCTGAATTGGTTAAAATTTTTTTGGTTATTAATCTTTTTTAATCGCAGCTTACTAGCCAGTTTATGCTGCAAATTTATCAAAGGAAAAAATTTTTTTACGATTTTTTTTATTAAATATAAAATTAATTTTTAAAAAAAAATTGAAAATTCGCAGCCATCCACTAAATATATAAATCATTTATTCAAAGTACCAACTGATATATCAACATTATTATTATATTGTATAAGGAAAATTCATGATCATGGTTATATTAGTCATGCGGCATAAAATTTACCGAAGTGTACACGAAACAATCTTATAACATGTTTTCGCCTGAGTAATTTGATGACTATACATCCATGTGGTAATATATACAATTATATTGTTAGCGTTTTATTAATATTTCTCTTTTCCCCTTTTTTGTAATATAATGGTAATATATATTTAAAAAAATATTGTGAAATACAATATGATCTAACTATCAAAGTAAATTCATTAAATCATTGACTCCCCTAATAAAATTATATACTTTATATATAGAATAATAAAAGTTGTTTATTGGATTTTGATCTTCCTTCTCTACTTATAAAATGAAAATATTACTGTACAAATACAGTACCTATTATTTATGTTGAAAAGCAAGTTTTTGTGGTTACATAATTTTGCAAATATTAGTTTTCAAATAATGAAATACTGCAAGCAACGATAATTATTCAGTTCGTACTATTTGTATTTCGTCATGTTATCAAATTGATGTAATGAAAGAAGGTTGGAACCGATTTTGGAATACCGGATTTCTTGATTTGGTGTTGTGGTTCCGATCAACCGATTATATTTAAACAAGTTCAAACCGACTAACTGGTTAAATTAAACTTGGTTAAACCGATTAACGATCAACTTTTTTTCCGATTAAATTTTTTTTATTTTTATTTTTTTTTTTAATTAAAATTATTTAAAATATATATAGTGTTATGTTATTACATAAATATATATAAGCAAATGAAATTAGTGAATAAATTACAAGCGTCAGTGTCAAATAATAATTTAATAAGATTAGCCAATAAGAAAAATTCTTGTAAATTTTCTGATGATATCAGATTTATATCAACATTTTAACATTAAAATGAGTAGTTACAATTTTCATAATATTTATGTAACAATATTAGCTAGTAATTCTCTACTTTCTTCCTATTCTGTATTGGTTTTATGCATTTTAAAATGTAATACTAGACATAAAAAGAATAATTTCTATGAAGTAACCGTTGAAAGGTTTTCAAGGTATATTCTAGATTCTACTAGACGAATTAGGAAAAAAATTTTGGTTATTAAAATTATAAATGTTATTATTTATAATCTGAATCCAGTAAATAGTGATGATAATGGAGTACATATTCCTCCTAAGTCCTAGTTCTAATCCTAGTAATATTAATCTTAAATCAATTACAATTAAATATTATAAAGTAACATCCCATTTACATACTACTGGACTCATGTCCTATAAATATTTTTTTTTTTATTCATTTATTCAATAAACAAATATGATATTAAAACTCATATATCATTTTATATAATGTTTATAGCATACTGATACATTGGCTTTTTTTTTTTTTAATTTAAAAAATTGAATTTAATAATATAGCCATGGCTGATTAGATTGAATGAAATAAAATATTTCATATAATATTACATAATTTTTTTTCATAATTATCTTTCATATTAATTAAAATATTATCCATTTATTTCATTTTTTTATTTTATTTTAAGTGTATGATATGGATCATGAAGTTGTGTGATAAAAATTCTCATGTATGGTATTTTTCTACTTCTTTCTATTCAACTATTTCTATTTTTTTTTTTTTAATAATAAATTTCAATTAATTTATATTACAGCTGTTTGCAAAAATAATGAATCACCCGATTCATTGAAGCTTCATTACTCAGTTATACGGATCGGCATAATTTTGGCCAATTTATAATTCCGGCCAAAATTAACGTATGTAGATCATTTCTTTTTCTAAAGTTTGTAACCATTATTAATCATCAAACCGCTAGCTAAAATAGCTTGTACAAAAAAAATGCATTTTGGCTGAACCTGTGTGACGACTATGACGTAGAAACAATAACTTTTTTAACTTAATCTATCTGCTATTTATAAAGTACATTTCCTCGAATACTTTTCTGGTAAAAACTCGGTAATAATTATATAAATTAATATTAAAAGTTTAAAATTAATTAATACCCAAAAATAATCAAATTATTTATGGCTTAACAGTTAAATGAGATACTTATAGTACGAATCAATATTCAAATCAGTTCAAATAATTAAATGACGTTTAAAAGGTAGGTTTTTATTATTTCAATTGGCTAAATGAATTTACTTATATAATTAACAAAAATGCTTTTTAACACTTGTCTACGAAAAAAAAAAAATTTTTTTCTTTCTCCGAAAAGAGCGATTTACTCTGATTTTATTAAAATCTATACGCTTCCATAATTTAACGGTATAAAAGATTACATTTCAAACATCTCTAATATATGAAATATACTTTTATAATTTCACTTGATGTTTCAAAATTTATGTCGTCTGAAATTACTACGTTAATCACGTGATGCTATCAAAATGTCAAAATTTGCATCATCGTTCTCTTATTGCATAAGTATTAGTAAATTATGACAACAAAAGTAAAGAAAATAAAGTTCTACTTAATTTAAAGTTTTTAAACATGTATTATTGTTATATCTTTTTCATTGATCCCACTAAACTGAGAGAATCTATCCGATATTTTGATGCCTACGAAGAGCATCATAGCATCATGAATAGTAACCGAAGTCAGGAATCGAGTCATATTTAGTTTCATACCCAATTGTAGATAAATTTACAATTAAAAGAAAACAAGAAAAATGTACAGTGAAAAATGGTAAAATTTAAATATAACTATGATATGATACTATGAAAATAAGTGGTAAATTTTAAATATAACCATGTCTAAAATCTAAATCCTTTTCTATATATAAATAAATATTCTCCATTAAAATTAACTCCATATTATTTATTTTGATTTTTACGACTTACTAGGTAATATAATTTTTTTAAGCCACTAGTATCATTATTTTTAGAAATTGAAATTGATTCTTCTCGTCCGTTATTAGACTGATTAGCTTCCTGTTCATTATAAACTTCTATATTACTATCGCCATGATACTCATTATTATTTTCGGACATCACATAGTTTCCTGGTATTAATATTACATCTTGATTATTCCTATTGTCTTCTGGTACTAACATTTTATCTTTATTGGTTTTATTTCTTTTATATAAAAAGACACTTCCTATTGTTAATAAGATACCACCAAACAGTCCACCTATTATCGCGCCAATCGTTGATGCCTTATTATCGGTATTCTTATTATCAGGGCCATTAATTCCGTCTGAAGAAACTTTACCAGCTTTACCAGGACCAGTTTTGCCAGGAGCATTAGGATTCCTAATTATAAGGGTACCTTCCATACCACCAAAACCAGGTGTACAATGACCAGGAACACCACAGTAAAACCGTCTTTTTCCAGCAACGTCAACTGGTAAAGTCCATTGTTTAGGTGCCATGAATGCACCACCAGAAGTGAAAGCGTCAGACCTTGATGACATTGAGCATATTTTTGCTGCGATGTAAAAAAAAAATAAAATTATGCATATTATATAATAAAATTTGTAATAATAGCCGTAATAATAGTTGTAACAAATACCTGCATCGGATTCTATAATACTATGTTTACCGGTTTTCCAAGTAAAGACAATCTAATAATTTATTAAAATTTATCTGAGTTGATATAAATTATTTTTAGGACAAAGAAAAAAATAAAAAGGTTGTTATACTGTACATACGTTATCACCAACGGTGGCCAATACGACGTTTGGGATGAAAGCATTTTTTCCTTTTGGACCACCAACCTCAACCATTATATCAGCTGCATAGGCGTATATTATAATTCCTAAAAGGAATAAATATATAGAAAGTGTTTTATTCATTTAATAATTTTTTTTTTTCTTATNGAATTCTCGTAAAAAAATTTTTTTTTTTTTTATTATTTTTTTTTTTTTTTTTTGAAGGGTGCGAAGTGAAAGTTTTTTATTTTATTTATGAATGTGTAGATCCTTTTTATTTGAGGCGTTGAATAATAATTCCGGCCTAAAGAGCCTAAAGAGCTAATAATAGTAAATTTAGTATCTTATTAACTAATTATATTTTATTTTATTGGACAAATGTGTAACGCCCCTGCATCAAATAATTAATTAGTGCGAAAATCGCGTGATTTACCGCAGTTAAATACAGTATATGATGAATTGATGACCGAATTCACCAAACCAAAAAAGATTTTGATTCTGTGTACATTATTAATAATATATTAGTAATTTTTTTTTTAAATGTTTAATACTATGATCTTGTTGCGAAGAAAAAGAGTTATAGAAAAAATTACTCTACTCTATTTTTTTTTTTTTAAAAAAAAAAAAAAAATTGTTAAATCTTCAAAAAAGTTCTCTCGTTAGGGGGATTGACGTCAAAGCAGGAATTCAAAATATAGCGTGGTACAAGATTTGACATGTAATTACAACATGTGACAATATAATCCTTTTTTCAACATCTTTTTTTTTTTAAGGATAATAATGAAACTTTAATATTTCTCCTAATCAGATTTAGACTATAAGAAATGATTAATTAACTAAATTTGGGAAATAAATTATAAGAATATTTTTATTTAAATTCGTGATCAATTAAGACTAAATATTTGATCGATTCAAATATGGTCGATAGAAATTTGGTTAACTGATCATAAGTTTTTATTTCCTTTATAAGTTCATCAATTTGTAACCGAATCGTATAATTTTTACTGGATATTCTTTAAACCTTTTTTATCCAAATATTATAAAGTATTTTATATAAAATTCAAAAATCTTTCAAATCCGTCATGAAATGTTTTTTTTCATTCTATTTATAGTTATACTTAAATGTCTAGTATACTAAAAAGTTGTGCATTACAATAAGAAGTAGTGCGCCAAAATACTTATATCATAGTAGGATTAGATCAAAAAATTCGTACGGCGCTGCAAAAAATGTGAGTTATAAAGCAAGACTTGAACAATTTAATGGATTAAATAGCTTTCTAGAACAAATTGTTCAGTCATTTGAGTTTCTCTCATACAGTGAATTGCGAAAAATTGGTGGTTTATAACATAAAATTGATTTAAATAAAAAAAGAAAAATATATTCATTTACTATGAAATAAAGATAACAATATGTTTTATTTTCTTTATATTTAATATATTTTTTTTTAAAAAAAAAGATTAATTTGTCACTTTTCTTGTAATAACTTTAAAAGTGCAACAAATACTCTTAAAATTTAATAATCATTTTTTGACTAAATTTTGTTATTTAGCTAGCTGTACCATATAATTAAGTACCTGTTCGATATTTATAATGGTCCCGTGAGTAATATCAAGCAATCTGATTGGCCTCTTAAGTATTCTTTCTAATTCTGCTCATATGTAATATAATCTGAGCATCTTTAGTTTATATATACAGTACTTCAAAATTAAAAAAAAATTAAAAATGAATATATTTTTATTGATATATATAAACTTATCTATATTGAGTTATTATATTCCTTAACTGTTAAATATATAAATATTAAATAGGCATAACTAATTATAAAATAGAAATAAAATGTTATCATAAAAGATTAAGAGTAATATCAATGAAAGTGTATAATATATCGATCGTATCGTTTATAATTATTTATAAAAATTCTAATAATCTCTTTGTTTCGATTTCTTTCTTGTATTTTTATAAAATCAAACGATTAGCCCTGTAAAAAAAAAATGTCCGGAAATTGTAGCTAAAAACATCCGGAAAATATCCATGTGTCCGGAAAACGTCCAGAAAATTGCAATATTCCGGACACTTTCTGGACGCTGGGTCTAAACCCTCCTAGACATTTTCTGGACATTTTCTGGAAAATGGAAATTTTCCAACGTCCAGAATATTGCAATATTCCGGACATATTCCAGACAAATAAACATTTTCTGGACGTTTTTAGCTACAATTTCCGGACATTCTTTTTTTATAGGGTAGGCCACACAAATTCGAATTTTCGGTTCACTTCACCCGGCCGGGTCACTTTTTCAAATTTCAATAAAAAAAAGTTTATATATAAAAAATTTATCATTTGATCAGGACGTAATTTTATTAGCGGGTAAGTTTATCACGCGGCTGAGAATTTCTAGAGCGAAAATAAATTCCTCCCTTTTAAAAGTCAACCAATCAAATGTCACGATTTTATATATAAACTTTTTTTACTAATAAACAATAAACTCCGGGTCCCCGGGTTGATTTTAAATTTCAATGTTACGTGAACCGAAAAATTGAATTTGTGTGGCCTTATATGATCAGAATATTGTGAATGTTCAACTTTTTTTTTTGTCAATCAACTCCATACAACACATCATCGGAAATTGGTAATTTTTTATTACTATGCTTCTCTTTAAAAATGGTTTGCGAAAATTTTTCTGTTAATTCTTCGTTAACCATATTTGCTGTTGTCAGCGAAATTTTAACTTTCGACTTGTTCGTTATGTACAGTACATTATTAGCAGAAGAACAAATCTTAGATTGAGAAATATTTTTTTATTAAATCATTATAATTGATTTCTTACATAAATAGAAGACTTTCTTTTTTTCTTGTTAATATAAATTTTAATTTGTGAATGTATCAACGTACTGTACATATGTGTACCAGTTCTTTCAGTAACGGGTTTTAAGTTATATCCTTCACGACCAATTAATTATTAATTTCAATATGATGAGAAATTGGAATGGACAAGTTTTCATTTGCTTTTTCATTTTGTAAAGAAATAAAGGCTTTAGATATTTTCAAACGACAATAGTCAATCAAAAGGTACATATTTATAACGAAAATTGTCCCACAAAGACATTATGATCATCACACAACATAACAGATAATGTTTTTGTTAATATATTAAACGTTATTGTTACCAGTTTAGAAAAATTAATAATTTCCAGATACATCTTACAATAACAAAAAAATCAATGACTATGTATGAAATCTTTCACGCTTTTATTGCCATTTGAGGTAAAAAAAAAAACCAAAAAAAAAAAAAAGTACAAAAGAAACAGGATAAAATCCTGAATATGTACGGAAAATGCCCTATAAAACACATTTAGTCCGTAAATTCTTTTTATTTTCAGAATTTTTTTTGGGAATTGATTTGTGTTTTAGGTTAAATCCTTCATGAACGTAAAGTTTATAAAAATAAATTTCTTTATTCGTGAATAAAGACTTTGTTCTCATTACTTCAAACGCTTTCTTACGTTATGAGATCGACACAATTACAGTACTGCTGATCATTTTATTTCTACGAAGTTGCGCTAACTTTTTTAGGGGTTTGAAAGGGAAGGTATGTTAAATGAAGCTATTTGTTGGAAGCAAGCCCATTTAAATATATGAACTTAAGAAGTAAAACCGGTCAAATAAAATTTAGATCTTTGTAACATAAATTTTTTTAAAAAAATGCAGTCACCGGCTTTTATTTTATGCATGTAAAAATCAAAAAACCTAATAATATGAAAATTTTTTGTGATTTTATAATAAAAAACTTTTTACATTTTTCAAAAATTTGACGCAGACAGGGTTACAACTTACAAGAATCTAAAGATTTAATTTTTTCGTCCTAAGATTATTATAATTGCCAAGTTCTTTCATCAATCCTCTAGTTATCAGATATCTTCTAATTTTGTAGAATCAACACTACACTCATCACTTCCAACCCGCTAATAAATGAGGCTCTTTACAAATCACCAAGACAAGTAAGTCCCCGAAGGGTATGATTCCTTGGAATGCACGATCAACTATATTATAAAAAAAATCTCAATTGATAATGTTTTATATATAACTTGACATACTTTTGATTTACAATGACAATATAAGTTAAAATTTTAATATTACAATAATGCAAATTAAATATAATGATGATAATTTCTATAATGTAATAATGATAACGCAAATGTTTAACGATCCCGCATTTGAGAAAAAAAGCATATAAAGATTAAGATTAACAAAGTTACGAGGCATTTCTTGCATTAATAATAAAATTCCTAAAAAATTAGACCTCAAAGGTAGAAAAACTACTTTCACTCTTACAGTTCAAATTGCAAAATAACTTCCTAGTAAATATAAAAAAAGGCTTCGTAACTTTGCAAATATGGATTGGAGAAACTTTATAAGTGTGAAAATATTTGAGAAAGAAGAAGTTATTCGATCTATGCATCTAAAAAAAACGGGCCATTTTTTATAATAATTTATTATGAAAATTTCGTTTATCAAATTTAAACTCTAAAAATATTAACTATGTAAAATATTAGGTAACTTGATATACTTTTGATTTACATAGTTGACCGCGCACTCCAAAGATTCCTGTCAATCGCCAGGAATTCGAATTGTAGAAAACAAGGATCAACTGCCAAGATTTCTATCTATATTTAAAGAAAAAGTTCAAATTGAAATTTGGAAATCTCTGGTAATTTAGAAAAGATATGTATATTTTGTATCGCAAGTTTCATGAATTCTTTATTAAGAAAAAACATAATCCTGTTTACAAGAAAAAAAATATGTTGTATATATATATACTCTAATAATAATGAATTTTATTCTTTTCTATAAACTATTTTTTTTAAAAAAAAAAAATGCATAATTGATAGTAAAATAATGAAAAAATATATATATAATTGATAATAAATAAAATTAAATGAAAAAAGAAAAAAAATGGATTAAGTAGATCGATTGTAATTCGTCTGATTTACAGGAACATTTCTTCTAATGTTTTTCTTATTTTGTGACTAAATATTTATCAGAGAAGGTGAAAAATATTTTATATTAAAAAAAATTTATCAAATAAAAATATTAACAAATTTATATATTTTTGTAACTTACTTGTCGTGCTTTGGTCGCATTCGGCATTCTTCGTTTAAATCCTTTTCTTTTTTCTTTCAGATCATTATCTTTATGGTTGCTTGATGTTGTATGTTGATGATTACCATTATCTGAAATTCTACTATTTTTTTTCTCTTTTTCTATATCTTTTTTTCGATTTCTTATTTCAATATCTTCTAGTAACTTGTCTATTTGACATATCGCTTTATCGATCCACTCCCAAAGCGAAATATTTTCATCTTTATATTTATAATCTTTATTTATTTTAATTTCAATTTGTCGAGGGTTTACTTCTGTATTAATGTAAATGCATGTACCAGTCCCTTTTTCAATGGGTTTTATGTTACGTCCTCCACGACCAATTAATTTACCAACTTCAACATTTTCGGAAATTTCCATAGTGGTTGAAATAGTTGAGTATCTGATGGAATTTTGCATTTTTGTTTCCATTTTTATGAAGAATTTAAAGATGATATAATGTTGTATTTTTTTTATTATTATTATTAAAAAAAAGGGAGGAAAAAAAAAATATGTATTATTTTTTTTTTTTGAATTTTTTTTTGAAAAATGCAAACTCAAAAAAGGAGAGTATTTATAATTTAGCAGTTTTATTGCGAAGTTATGTTACTTATGTATAAAACAAAAACACATCGTAAAATCATTTTATTAACATAAAACCACTAACAAAATTTTTATATTTGTTATTATTTTAACAAAACCATTTTTTAATTAACAAAACCATTTTTTAATTATAAACAAAGACAATGTTTTTGATGACGAGCCATGAAAAAAGAATCTATTTTTAAATCATGTTTTTATTATAAAAGGTTTTTATTCTCTTTTAAGCATGCATGAAAAGAATGTTATTAAAGGATATTCGTTAATATAATTGATAGTCAAGACTATCACAAAAAAAGGGATAGCTGGATACCTTTGTCTGGATCACCCGGTCTTGCTCCACAAATTGTGTTATTCAAAGAAATGTTTTTGTTATCAATTGCCTACTGCGCTATTAACTATCAATTATTCATAAAAAATTAATAATTAAAATGTTCAATATTATATACTAGTTATTGGATAAGAGATATCGGTCGAAGACCGATATCCCCCATCCAATAATTGAGTTATAGTTCGGTCATTAGGAATACTGCGGCGATTTATAGGAATTAATGCTACTAATAACGATTTCAATATTGGATGACTCAGGAATATGCGGGATTTTTAGATAGTCAAGAATTCCCTTTAACTCTGGTAATAGAAACGTGAAGCCATTTGTATTATTATGTGAAAATATCGTCGTTCACCACAATAAATTATTGCATCTTATGTATAACTATTTTATGAAACTATTCAAAAAAATTACGAGCACATCAGAAATATAGTCGTAGACGGACATGGTCGAATCAATCATTTTTTTATTCTTTTTTTAAAAAAAAAAAAAATTTAAAATCTAAACTGTAAACATGCGGAAAATCTTCTACGATTTTACCATAAATTCGGTCTTATCTATTTTCATAATAAACAAGATGGTGTCATCATACAAAACTCGGCTGAAAGCTCTAAAACATAATGTTAAAAGTATAAATATTTGTATAATTTTCGTGAAAAATAAAATTTGCTTAGATATATCTTTTAAAAATTAGAAATAAAGCAAACTATCTGATAGCAATAGATATAATAGATATTAATAAAATTATGAAAATTTGAAAGTAATATAGAGGATAATGAATAAAATAAAGTGAAATTTGTGTATTATTTGTTGATAATGAACTGAACCAAGAAATCTATTAAAGAATATTTTTTTTAAAAAAATAACTGTTTAAATTAAATGCGATCTTTGCTTAATTTTAGTCCAATTTTTGGAACCGTAATCATGAAATAACGTACAAGAAATAAAGATCACACTTAAAGTCCGTGTAGTATCGATACTTGACAAACAATAATATCCTACCCTTTTTGCAATTTTCTTAATTAAGGCCACACAAATTCGATTTTTCGGTTCACTTCACCCGGCCGGGTCACTTTTTAAGTTTATCACGTGATCAATACGTAATTTTATTGGCGGGTAAGTTTATCACGTGGCTGAGAACTTCCGGAGCGAGAATAAATTCTTTAATTACCCTCTCCTCTAAAAGTCAACCAATCAATGACACGATTTATATATAAACTTTTTTTTATTAATAAACAATAAACCCCGGGTCCCCGCCTCGTGAACCGAAAAATTGAATTTGTGTGGCCTAAGCAATATTTTTTTTTCAACAAAATAAAATATTCATAAAAAATTAACTAAAATATTTTTGAACACAGTTTCACTTATATGAAATTTTGTGCTAATAGTATAATTATAAATATTTTTTTTTTTTAAAAAAAGTGAAATTATAAAAGCAATTTTTCATCAGCAGCAAAATTCTAGCGAAAGTTGGATAAATTCCTAAAAAAAAAGCAGTAAGAATTTGAAAAGATCATCTATCCTAAACATGTCATTTTTTGTTACACAAAGTAATATATAAGACGCAGTAAGACTTCCCCAATTTCCCCAGTATCACCGTAGAAAAATGTCACATTCACGTGATCGTTTTTTATTCATCACAACCGTCACACCCCACTGCTCTATAAGTATCTGAGGGACTTAGTTTTTTTCGAGTAGGCAAAACCTTATTCATCACCCCTTATTCGTCACTGTTTATTTTCACGTGTTAGTGCATAACGCCGTAATGCGGGCCAAATGTGACATTTTTCTACGGTGATACTGGGGAAGTTGACTTCCCCAGTATCACCGAACGGATCATATATCACGATCTATTTACATCATCATGAACTGCGCTTCGTTAATTTTTCTCATGAACACTACTAACGAGATTAATTATTCCGAATAAAAGAATAAAAGAATTAACCAATCAATTAAGTAAGTTTGGGTTTTCAAAAATGACGACGATATAAATAGCGACTCTAAGAAATTTTTTTAAAAAAAAGATTTTAAACGTAAAATATATACAATATAAAAACACGTATGAAGCAGAAATTATAGTGAAAGGATGTTTTTTTTTCGGTTTGATATTGAACATTTTTTATTTAGGAACATACAGTATATTGAAATTGCGCCGCATATCGGCCCTTCCGAAAATTTTTGAGGCGTAGTAAATTTTCAAGCCACATCAATCGAAGGTTGAGGTGAAAGGAATTTAACAAAAAAAAATGGCCAGAATTAATGTTAATTTTGGCCCGAATTAAATGTTATAATTCATTTAAAAAATTATGGCCTAATTTTCTTCTAATTTTAACCTAAATTATATGTTGGAAAAAAAAATTGAAAAAGAGGCTTACAATAATCTCAAAAGTCTCATATCATATTCATTAATCGAGTTTAGTGTTGCACAGATGATGATTGGCGTGATTATCAAAGTTCAAACGCAAACGGGATCCGGAACCCGGAACCCGGAAACCCTAACCCGGCCCGGACCCGGATCCGGGCTGGCAAATTTTCTTCAAAATTCACACGGGCCGGGTCCGGGCCGGCACATGAATTTTCGTCAAACCCGGATTTTCGTAATTCTGGCCAAAATTAAGTTAGCCGATTTTTTTGTTTTTATAGTACAACAAAATGATAAAAGTCCGGGTCCGGTCCGGGCCGGGTTTTTGATATATTACAGCAAATTTCAAAATATACGGGACACTTGAGAAATTTGATTGTCGGGTTGTCGGGTAGCCGGGTTACTCGGCAGTAGGTTGTTTATTAGAAAAGTATAAATAACACGTGACGAGTATAATGAATAGTAGTATATCAGATTATATAATAACCTACTGCCGAGTAACCCGGCTACCCGACAACCCGACAATCAAATTTCTCAAGTGTCCCGTATATTTTGAAATTTGCTGTAAGTCCGGGCCGGGTTGTAAAATAGTGGTCAATGCAGACCTCTAGTTCAAACACTGTTCAAACACGTAATTAAAATTTTTTTTTGCCTAAAATTACGTAAAATATAAAAGATCAGAGTCATGTATATATAATCAATCGGTCTATAGGCATAATTCAGTGTCAAAGTGAAATAGATAAAAAAAGGGAACTATTATGAAACCAATTTACTCAATTTTTTTTCTCTAACAAAAAAGTACCAAATCGCGTATATATAATGAAAAAAAATTTTCGATATTTGTTCAAAATAATCGATAATTAAACAAAAAAAAAAAGATTTATTTTTCGCCGTTTTTGTGTAATGATTTACGAGACGACAGTACTAATTTCGTAAATAAAACAAGAAATAGTTTCCTTGGTCGTCATAATAGTTTATATTATTGTTCACTCGGTTAGGAATATGCGGGATTTTAATGACCGATATTTTTATGAGACATCCAATATTGAAAACGTTATTAGTAATATTAATTCCTATTGGCCACACAATGATTGAACTATAACTCAGTTATTGGATGGGATAACTCTCCCCTAATAAATCTTGTTTCTTATATTTCTACATTTATTATTAATTTCACCAGTATAGTAGGTCCGGATGATCATATTTCTCGATTTCCCAGAATATCACTCGCAATTAATTTATGCATGTTAATTATGTACATAAAATTTTATTGATGGTGCAAAACAATAAATTTTGTTTAAAATTGATGTACAAACTCAATAAGTTACCATATTATTTTTTTGTCGATCGATTATTAAATATAAAAGAATAATTTCAATCTTAAATTAGAAAATAATAAAAAAAAAATGTCAAAAAAACCCATCTTAAAAGATTCAAACCGTTATATTGAATGGTTAGAAAAATCAATTATCGATGAATATATAAACTACTATGAATATTCAGACTTCAAAAATATTCTACCAATAGGAAGTGGTTCTTATGGAAATGTCAATCGTGCTAATTGGAAAAATACTGGTCATTTCTTCGCTTTGAAATCTTTTAGTGATGACAAACAAACTTTTAAAGAAATCACAAAAGAGGTAATCATAATCAATAAAATATTTAAATTTATTATTCAAAATACTAATAATACTTTTATGATATGTGCCGCAGTTAAAGTTACATCGAAGTGTTGATGTACATGAAAATATCATACGACTATGTGGAATCACAAAGGTAGAAACCGGTAAGTATTTAAAAACTTATATAATGTAATGAACACTTTTTCTTATAAATAATTAATTGTAATAAAATAATAAATATTGATTTGATTAGACGAAATTCAAAAATATTCTTTAGTCTTAGAATATGCTGATAGCGGTACGTTAAATACTTACTTAGGCAAACATTTTAATGAACTGAGCTATAAGGATAAATTCCACCTAGCATTACAACTAGCTAGTGCTGTAGAATTTTTACATGCTAATGATATTATTCATCGTGACCTGGTAAGAATATTTTTTTAAAAAAATTTTTGTTTATTTTAATATATATTAATATATAAAGAGATTAACACAATTAATTATTGTAAATTGAAGCATGG